ATAAACTACCTAATCCTACAACTAAATGTATTAGAAAGAGAAAAGCAAGAACGTCCCAGAGGAAGTAGAAGGAAGGAAATAATAAAGATCAGTCCAAAATAAATAACAGATACTAAAACAAAGAAACAAAAAACAGTACAAAAGATTAGTGAATCCAAGAGCTGGTTGTCTGAAAAGATAAACAAGATTGATGAGCCCTTAGTCACACTCATCAAGAAACAGAGAGGACCTAGGTAAATAAAATCAGAAATGAAAGGCAATATAACAGCAGACACCACAGAAATACAAAGGATTGTAAGCAAATACTATGAATAACTATATGCCAACAAACTGGACAACCTGGGTGAAATGGACAAATTCCTAGAAACATACAATCTCCCAAAACTCAATCAGGAAGAATCAGAAAACTGAAAGAGACCAATAACAACTGATGAAATTGAAGTAGTAATTTCAAAACTCCCAACACATGGAAGTCCTGGTTTGAATGGATTTACAAGAGAATTTTACCAAACATTCAAAGAAGAACTAACACCTGTCCTCCTCAAAGTATTCCAAAAAATTCAAGAGGAAGGAACACTTCCAAGCTCTTTTTACATAGCCAGCATTATTCTCATTCCAAAACCAGATAAAGACACTACAGAGAAAGAAAATTACAAGCCAATATCCCTGAAGAATACAAATGCTAAAATCCTCAACAAAATATTAGCAAATAGGATCTAGCAATATCTATACTAATAAAAGCCTATGTGGTCGTCACACCCTCATGCCGTGATGCCCTCACGCCATAATAGTCATCACCAGAAGGCTGTGTGCACAGCGGGCGCATGTGGGTGTGTGGGGACTTGACGCTGCATGCGCAGCGTTGAGGTGGGTCCTGGCGGCTTTGTGCGGAGCCACAGAGGTGGATCCCAGCAGCTCCGCATAGTGTGGAGGCAGGACCCCCAGCTCTGGCCTACCTCTTTGGGGCAATCTATTGAGGAGCCCTGGATGGGTGAACAGGGCCTACTTCTTTGGGGAGATCAATCGCGGGGCTCCCTCACTGTGAGAGGGCACAGGCCAGGCTGGGGAAGCCCCCACCCCAAGTGCATGAATTTCGTGCACCGGGCCTCTAGTATTAAAAGGATCATACACTATGATCAAGTAGGATTTATTCCAGGGATGCAAAGCTGGTACAATATTTGTAAATGAATAAATGTGATACATCACATAAACAAAATGAAAGATAAAAATCATGTGATCATATCAATAGATGCAGAAAAAGCATTTGAAAAAATCCAGCACCTTTTTTGATAAAAACTCTCAGTAAAGTGGGTATAGAGGGATCATACCTCAACATAACAAAGACCATATATGACAAACCTACAAGCAACATAATACTTAGTGGGCAAAAACTATTTCCCTTAAGAACAGGAACAAGACAAGGATGTCCGCTTTCACCACTCTTACTCAACATAGTACTGGAAGTCCTAGCCAAAGGGATGAGACAAGAAATGAGATAAAAGGCATCCCAATTGGAAAGGAGTAAGTAAGCCTGTCATTATTCATAGATGACATGATATTATACATAGAAAACCCTAAAGACCCCACCAGGAGACTACTAGACTTAATAAATGAATTTGGCAAAGTAGCAGGATACAATATCAACATCCCAAAATTGATGATATTTTTATATTCCAACTAGTGGCTGGGTGCACAAATTTGTGCACATTGAAAGGAAATTAATTAGAAGAAATATTTTAATATTGCTATTCACCCTTTCTCTATAATAAAAGTGTCAACCAAATTCACAATTGACAATGACAG